CTCGTCTGCAGGAAACCACTAATGTAATTTAGCGCGTTGTAATGCAATGTAAGCAAGTAGCCACCTCATGCTAATTGGACAAATGAAGATGTGACATGGTCAGCCATCAATTACCGCAGAACATCGATCTGGTCGTTAAGACGTCGCTGTGCCGCGTTCCACAGGAACAGAACTCACTCATTATTTCCCGCCATTGTCTTTGAGAGCACGGTTAAACACGAGTGCTTGTGTATTAATTCAGATCCCATGTTTATATTAAACTACATTTAATATCGTCCGGTGTGTGGTGACAGACGATAAAATCACATCGAATATATCGATAACGATACACAATATCCGGTTTTTGACAATATATATTTTTTAATCTTTAGGGTTTTTTTTTCCTGTATTAAAATATATTTTGAAATGATTTTCATATTATTATTTACCACTTGTTGTTGTTTTTTTATCCCTCTCTGGCAGCGCTGTCTTTTCGGGCCTCGGCCCAGACCTTTAACATTATGTAAATGAGCCAAAGCTCTCAACCTTGTGGATTACTGAGTCAGAGAGCAGGACCCCGGTCCACAGACCCTCCACATTAGAGTCCCATAAAACCTGCAGCTGGCGGGCTCCGAGCTGCGGCCGTCAGGGTTCACGGTGTTTACAGTCATTTCCTGTTTTTCTTCATTTTTTTTTAAAGATAAACTTTTACACGAGGAGATGTGGATGTGGCGGAATCACGAACTGGATCCGACCGGCGGCTGAGGAGGAGGAGGTTGAAGAAGAGGTGGAGAAGGAGGCCGCACTGAAGGTATGTTTAAAAAACCGGATAAAAATGATTTATCATTTCTTTACGTTAATCAGAGAAAAAAAGATTATTTATTTATTTAGCTTTCTTTGTTGCTCCCGAGGTTCTGTAAAAGATAAAAAATAAAAAATAAAAATAATCAGAATACAGCTGTTGAAATGACGCGGGGAAAAAAAAAACAACTTTTAATTTTTTTCCGTCGGGATTTAAGGGACCGTCGTTAAAGTGGAAACGCGTTTTAAAAAACGAATGATAATAATAATAATAAACATTACTGCTGCGAACACAATATATATATATATATATAGTCTCCTTTATATGGATACTGTATAAAACATCTGATTTTATTATATAGTCTGTGAAATACAGCTCTATTTTTTTTTATTATAGAGGCAATGATTGTGGAACGAGGCTTCGACACAAACAAACAAAAACAAAACAAAAAAATCACTGCATCTCTTTTCGTGTCTGCGGTCTAGTCTAGTCTGGTCTGTACTGGTCTGGTCTGTACTGGTCTGTAATGACATCTTGACCAGTTTTCCAATCCAGCCTCCATCATCTTTTAACCGGACCAGTTGTGCGTCGTTAAGCAGCAGATAATAACGGTCCATTTTGCTTGTTTATCATACAGACAACCTTTCCTCTCTCCCCCACCACCGCCCCCCACCCCTGCCCCACCTCAGATCAGCTCAGCACAGCAGATGGACCAGAGCGCCTTGTTTCTCGAGTGCTTTCCCCATCTAGTTCAATACCCTGAGAGATGTAAAGAGACGGCTGAAGGGCCGGGGTCCTGACCCGCAACATCAGCCGCTCACCGAGCACCGACTCCGGGATCGATTCCCTCTGTGTCCTCCAATCTGTCCCTATAACTTTGATGTGGATTTGGGGGGAAATTTGGTAATCGAACGTTTGAGAATTCAAAGATTTCAGAGACTGATAATAAAAAAAAAAAGAAGAAGAAGAAGAAGAAAAGTAGAGACGATGACGCTGACGTATCGTTGTTGCGCGTAAATTACGCAAAAATATAAAATGTCTTATCCACGGCCTCTGGGTTTACGGGTGAAAATAACTTGAAAAGAGACGTTACCTTCCAAAAATATATTCACATATAACAGGCTAGAGTGTAAAATCAGTATCATTAAATACATTTCTTTAAAAATGAGTTCAAGTAAAATGATTCATGTCGCCCTAAAACATGAGCAAACATATGTATATATATTTATATATTTTTTATGGAAAACAAATTCTAAATAAACTGTTGAAGTAATGTCGCCATAAAGCATGAGCAAATATATATAAATATATGTATATGTATATATTCATGGAAAGAAATTATAAATAAACTGTTAAAGTAAAATAAGTAATGTCGCCATAAAACATGAGCAAATATATATATTTATATGTTTGCTCAATATATATATATATTGACTAATATTTATTTTGGAAAACAAATTTTAAATAAACCGTTAAAGTAAAATAAGCAATGTCGCCATAAAACATTAGCAAATATATATATATATGTTTGCTCAAAATATATATATATATTGACATATATATTTTTCTGGAAAACAAATTCTAAATTAACTGTAAAAGTAAATTAAGTAATGTCGCCATAAACGATGAGAATATATATATGTTTATATATATTTACATGTGTATTTTTTGGGGAAAACACAAATTCTATTTAAACTGTTAAAGCAAAAATAATCTGGACATGAGCAAATATATACATACATATATTCAATTCTAAATAAACTCTTGGACCTCACGTCCGTGTCGTCGGTCAGCTCGATGATGTCATCACGCACAGACCCGAGGTCTGAGGAAAAGACACGAAAATCTAAAAAAAAAAAAAATAAGATGATAATCTATGGACAACTGTTTATTTCCACAGTCGAACCCCCCACCCCTCCTCCTCCTCCTCCCCCTCCTCCTTCAGCCCCTCTGTCCCAGCCCCAGACCGTGGTTCCGCGGACTAACCCGGTTCGGTAACCCCCGCCCCGCGGCAGCAGAACCCCACACCTGCAGCCCAGGGCGCTGCCGTTTAGATCAAATACTCGGTGTCCTCTTAAACCTCTGAGCTCAGGGACACCACAAAGCGGGCAGGTGCGTATCTTTGAGCCGCGCTACTTGAAACGGTGCGGTTCCTCCTCTAAGTAGGTTAAAGGTCCCCCCCCCAAGTGGAGAAAGTATGTGACGGGCCTCTTGAAGACCGTATTCTTCTGCAGGAGTTCGCATTCATTCACAATTAATGTGGCTTGATGGACGAAATGATGCTAATAGGGCGCCAAAAAAACCCCGGGGGGACGGGATGCTGACCACGGACCGACAGTTTGGGGGAGACCGGAGGGTGAGGAGGAATTCATGAGGAGCATGCCTGGGGGGGGGGGGGGTTCCCGGGACTTCGGTCAGGACGGTGCTGGAGGTAGGTGTGAGACTAGTCAAATTAATAACTATAACTAATTAACTAACGGAACTCTGATCAACCAAACTGAGACAAAGAAAAAGAACCACGTGATTCAAAAGTCTGCATAGCAACAGGAAAACACCGTGTTTTTCTTCGACCTTTAGTTTTTTTTTTCATCGTTGATTGTTTTTTTCACACTCATTATTATTATCATATTATACTATATTTGAATGATGACGTCACGTCTCCTGCTGGGATGTCCTCCACCTCCATCGACTCTGCCGGACGGAGAATCAATAGTTTCTCTATATTTATATTCGAACACAAATATATTTAGTAGCGGTTTGTGGCCCCACTTCGCAGTACAAGGAAATACTTCATGTACTTCAGTGAAAGTACTCACAGACAAAACACAAATTCTAGAAAGAGAATTGTGGAAAAACAATCACGTTTTTAACGTTTCAAATGGTGGACGTAAATATAAAATATAACACATTTAGTCGTCAATTAATCGACTTTAAAAAAACTAATCAAGGCTGTAAAACTTCACTGTTATTTCCTCTTTTTTTTAAACAATAAGAGTCAAAAAGAAACTCGTGAATATATATTGCTACGGACAGGGAGAAATATATTATATATATGTCTGTGACGATGTACTGACAACAAATACTGCGTTTATCTGGAGTAAAATAAAATGACAAATACACGTTTTTACTGAGATAAAAGTAATGAGAGAACAAGGCAGAGATAATCTCCAGTCTACTGCTCACTGGGTTTAAACCAGATTAGACCAGATTAGATCGTTAATAAGAAAAAAAAAAACCGAATTAAACAGAATGAAATATAATTTTTATCCAAATAATTTCGCAGTAAACTGTTCAGATTAGATTAAATTTAGACACTGAAAAAAAAAGAAAAACTCAACTAAAAATGTCATGAGATTTTGTCAAGTCACGTGTGATTATTCTGGATTTGATTTTCTATCTTATTTTAACCCAGATTAAATAAAACACACATTAAAAAATAAACAAAAAGAAGTAAAAAGTCCCAAATACTACTAATCTGATCTCTACAGTTCAGATTAGATTAAAAAATGTGAAATGAATAAAAAATAAATGTAATCAGACCTTTGTAATCTTCAGGTTAGATTAGAAAAGATTAGATTTAATGAGATTAGATTAGATTTTTCTCTGAACTGCCCAGTTGAAACAAAATTAAATAAAAAATTAAAAAAACTAAAAAAAAGAAGAAAAAAA